AAACCTTCGGTCGGCTCAAGAATTGAAACACATTTAAAATACAAAAATGAATAAGCAAATTAACATTGAAACAAAGAAATGAGTAAACATATAAAAGGTGGATAGCGACAGCAGAAGTGAAGTTCTTCCTCCACGCCACCAATGACTAATCATTTTCTTTGGATCAAATTGGAAAGGTGTTGTATTGATCCTTCATACACGTTTTCATAATTAAACAATGATAGTTTTTTTATCATTAGGAAAAAAACAAAGTTTATTATCAAGGGTTAAAAAACTGTTCCGGATTCTAAAGGTTGACAGTTCGACTGTCCCGTCCGAATGAATGGATGGTCCGTTCTAATGAAAAAATTAAAAAATAATTAAAAATAAAAAATGGCTAAAACTGTTAAACAGATTAAACGAGTCAATAGTTTGACTGTTTGATTCAATAATTATTGACCAATTCAACAATTTTGGTTTAAGATCAAGTTTAAGGTAAAACAGAACCGGTTCAGATTAAACGGTCCGACCATCTAGATCAATAGTGATTTGAAAATTTGGTTGTTAAGAAGGAAGCACATAAGATATAAAGGTTTGTATTTCTATTTTAATCTTTTGTCATCCAGCGTAACAAATGGTCCAAGCGGCCTGATTCCAATTTTACTGTATTAAACTCTCAATCATGAGTAGTGAGAAATTATTTGGGAAATAGACTCTTGGGGAGCAAAAGTAAAAGTAAACATGCATGAAAGGGAGAAAAGCAAATGAAAAGAAACAATATGTTTATGTGGTCCTTTTAGTACTTTGTGGGTTAAAGCTCTCTTGAAAAACAGACAACCTCTCGGGTTGGAAGAAACAATGTCTGGTTACTTGCTTTTTTTTTTTTTGTTTAATTTTTGTTTTGAGTTCATGAATTGCCTAAGCTATGGTTGATGGATTTCAAGCAATCCCTGGTTCAAATATCTTTTTTTTGACCCCATTATATGGAAACGTATTTTGCAAGGGGAATTTGGGTATCGGTTACTATATATTAGGTGGAGCGTTTCTGCAATGTGGAGGTAAGGAAAATATAAACATTCATAACATCACTTTTGGGTAATGATGTAAAATGAAGGAACGGTTTGGCCGGGCGGTTGGTCAAATTGTTATTTTCCCAAAACCATTGATTTGATTAATAAATCACTGATTCGGGCAATTAAACCGTTAATAGTTTGGCTGATTTTTATTTTTATTTTTTAATTTTTTCTATTAGAATGGGCTGTTCGTTTGATACAAACGGTCAAGCTGTTCGACCTGAGAATCAGACCCTTGACCGGTTCATTATCCGGTTCAGTTTTAAAAACCTTAACCAAGAAAATCAATCTCGATCTCTATTCCAAAATAGCATATAAAAAATTCGAAGGAATGTTGATTTCCTAAAATTAGCACACTTTTTTTTTCTGAAAATTAGTGTTCTTCCGTAGTCACTTCAGATGTAAACATACATCATAAATTATTCAAACTCCTCATCTATGCAAACTTATATCTTCCATTTGTTGAGCTTTTCTCAGGTGAGTAGTAGCCAGTGGTTTTCATTACTATCTTTTATTTTTAATAAAAATAAAGAGGAAAAGATGAATTCCCACCAAAAAAAAAAAGTAACAGATCTGTAACGCTGTGCATACAAACGCATTTTCATATATGCCTTACAAATGCTCTATACACCACATATCTGGAATAGTACTATTTCATTTCAAATGGGTTCCCCCAACTATCAGTACAGTTGGCCCACAGACTGTATTCTAGATGTATGGTGTAAAATGGATGTATAAGGCTTATAAGAATAAGAGAAAGAAAAAGGGAGTGCTTATAGAAATCTCTTCCCAACAGTACCCTTTTAGGAATCTCTTACTTGGCCTGTCCAATTTAATCCTCACCCAAACTTATTTTAATTTATTCCCTTAATAAGACAAAGCGGGTTAGGTAAGGTGTTGGACAGGCAAAAGTTAATGCAGGAGGAATACAAATAAGCATAAAAATCCTTCTATTTGTTTCACGTTTAGGCTGTGTTTGGTTTGAAGGAAAAGATAGGAAAAGGAAAGGGAATGTAAGAGGATTTTTACAAACTTTGTATAGATTTTCTCAACTTTTCCTTCCTTTTCCTATATTTTCTTTCAAAACAAACATAGTCTTAATGTAGTTTAGATGGATTGGTGCAAAGTTCAAACATCACCTCGTGATAGGGTCAACCCTCAAACATTTTAAGATTGCAATCATTTTAAGATTTTTAAGAAGGAAATCCTCAAACAAACCAATTCCCAGTTCGGTCTTAAATAAGATCATAGTTCGGTCTTAAACCAGACTATGATCATCATCATTAGAGAATACAAGTCTATTCATATATCTTATCTAATTGCCAGGGGTAGAGTTAGAATTTTTTCTTGAGGGGTCAAAACCTAAAAAACATGGATATATAGGGGGGTCAAAAGCTAAGAAACATAGGTAAGGGGGTCAAAATATAAGTGATTTAAATGGGTTTTGTGGGAATTTTGAAGGCAGGGGGGGAATGGCCATGGCTCCCCTCTGCCACCCCTGGCTCTGCCCCTGCTAATAGTTTAAACTTTTAAGTTGATCAGTTTCTTAAGGTGATATTAGAGTCCATTTGATCAAGTGATCTAGTATTTCATCCTCATTGTCCCCATCATAAATTTATAATTAATTATATTTCAGCATAATGTATGAATCGACTTATATTTATTCACATTTCAAGCCTAATAGCTTTCTCATAAAGAGGCGTGTTAAAGAATAAAAACCTATTCGGAGACCTCATCTACAACGTAAGTCAAAACTAGAGTGAAAAGGCATATAATGATAGAAATACCCCATTTATTACCAAAACACCCATGCTAGAATTGGATCCTAATATGGCATTAAAATGACATTTGGAAGGTTGAAATACTGCCACTTCTATATGGAACTAATGAAATAAGTGGTTTGGTTATGCTTTTGAGTTTTGACAAGCCCTCTTATATAAGAAAATTTTCTTTTTTGGCTTTCAAAACAACAGAAATTTTGCTTTGATTAATAAATTGCTGAATCACCACTTATCTATTAATTGGGCATGTGTGTATTTCCTTTTCTTTTTGCACTTGCTGAAACTTTTGCAATGACAATAATGCCCCTGATATGCATGTTCAACAACTTCAAAATGATATTCTATATAGATTTCATATACATACCGTTTAGACACAAAGATAAGCTCTAAAATTTAATTAGACTTGAGATGTACCAGACTTCAAACTTCCAAATGCCACCTAAGATGGCTCCCTTAGTCTATTTTTGGTTGGACAGAAAAAGAAGAAAAAACAGAAAGTTGAGGGAAAATTCTTAACAAAATCTTGTGAATTTCCTTCAACTTTTTGTTTATCTTTTATTTTTATCAAACCAAACACAGCTTTAAGTTAAAAGAACTGCTTCCCTTAGATCTCAGTAAAGTTTGATTAACTTTGCTTTTGTACAATGCCTAAGACAAAAGTTGTAAATGATCAAACTCTTCAAAGGGAGTTTTAAATATGGTCGAAGATTTGAATGTACATTACTCAATTATGTAGGCAGTAAAAGTTGCCTATTAGAGGAACTTGAATATCACAGTCGACAAAAAAATTATCGATGATTAGAGGGTCCAAGGCTCTTATTGAATCCGTAAATAGTAGGATTAGATGGGCCATATCAACCTTGTTAAACAACACAAGCTAACACAATGTTGTCGGGTGACTAGGATTAAATATGGCTCTCTTTTAGACCTGGTAAAAAGTTGATCTCACCCGTAAATCCGATTCAACCCAAAAGAACAGGGTTATGGTCTCGTATTAAATTACATGAATTTGAGAACTCTATCTGGAAAAAAACTGGGTTAATTTGAATTATGGGTCAACCCGTTGATCCGATTGTCAAGGCTAATTAAGACTATTTATATATTGTTAATAGTTTCCGTTCTTTAATTTTTACTATTTAGTTTTTATTCTTTCAATTGTTGAATGTTTAAGTTTTTTATTTTATATTTAAAATTTTAAAGTTAATTCCTTTAATTTTGGTATTTTCATGTATTATTTATTTATTTTATAAAATTTCAGTTATTTTTAGGGATGACTGGATTTGACCCGTGGGTCAATTCTAACCCGTAGGGTTAAGGTCTAGCATTTGCCAATCCAACCCAAAATTCAACCAAACCCGGAACCAACCCAAAGTGTCTTAACCCGACCCATCCAACCCAATTGCCCGGTCTAGTCTCTTTATGATAGATTTCCTCAATTGATTGTTTAATAAATTTACCTAATATAGCAAACATAATTTAGCCTCTGTTTGGATAATTTTTTATTTTGATCTTTTGTGTGTGGGAAATAAAATTGAGCAAAAAAAAGTGTTTTAAGCGTTTCATATGAGTTGCATTTAAAAAACATTGCAACTTAAAGCCAATACACTTTCAAACCCAAGAACATAAAAGTCAAAAATTGGACTCTCTGCTTTGGGGCTTTAACAAGCAAATTCTGAAGCTTCCTTAGTTTACTTGCTTTTACTTCAATGGGAATCTCTTTACCAAATTTAAGGCTAAAGCTTAATATCTTATCAAGGGCCTTAACTTTTGTTAAATTAAAGTGAAAAAAGAATTATATTCAGGCATGTAAATTAAAATTGATTTCAAATTCATATTTATAATCAGAAATTAAAAAAAAAATGAAATCACAGTACAGTTATATTTTCTTGACTAAATATACTCTCAAAACTGCATTGGCTCATTGCAGGAAAAAAAAAAAGAAAAACTGCATTGGCTCAAGGCTAAAATAATCCCACAATGCTAGCAGTAACCCGTACATCCCTCTTTCCATGGAATGGAAGTTGAATGTTTAATATAATAACACGTCATCTACAATCCAATGTCCTCTTCTAACATGAGCCACCTGTATTCATAACCCCTGGTTAACTTAACCATAATAGGCGGTCAACTCACCTCTCTATACATCATCAGTCCAACACAATACACTCCCAACTCCTCACTCCATTTTCTCCTCCTCCCTCCCCCTATTTATATCCCTCCAAAGTTACGTTCTCGTAAAACCAAACCCCTCTCTCTCTCTCTCTCTCTCTCTCTAATCTCTATCCATCTACCTTCTCTCTCTTTCTCTAGGCCGTCCTCTTCAGTTGAAGCAATCTCTCTTGGCTTCATCAGCAGCAGCAGCGGCAGCAGAGAGTTAGTTAATAAACGGTTTTTTCTCCCCATTTTAACCTTCGTCTCGTCCTCAATTTTACGCTTCATGCCATCAACCGTTGTTCTTCGCCCCCACTAAGATCTGAACCCAACCCAACCCAACCCAACCACCCATCTCTGGTTTCTCACCAGTTCCGATAATTTGCAAACATGATTTCATGGAAAGATCTCTACACGGTCTTGGCCGCCATGGTTCCTCTCTACGTGGCCATGATCTTAGCCTATGGTTCAGTTCGATGGTGGAAGATTTTCTCGCCGGACCAGTGCTCCGGCATCAACCGCTTCGTCGCCGTATTCGCAGTTCCGCTTCTCTCCTTCCACTTCATCTCTACCAACAACCCTTACAAGATGAACTTCCATTTCATCGCTGCCGATACTCTGCAGAAGATAATTATGCTCGTTGTTCTGGGTATCTGGGCTAACTTCACCCGGAACGGAAGCCTTGAATGGTTGATCACCATCTTCTCTCTCTCCACGCTCCCTAACACCTTGGTCATGGGGATTCCTCTCTTGATCGCCATGTATGACAAGAACGCCGGCAGCCTCATGGTTCAGGTCGTTGTGTTACAGTGTATCATTTGGTATACACTGCTTCTGTTTCTCTTCGAATACCGAGGTGCCAAGATGCTGATCATGGAGCAGTTCCCTGATACCGCGGGGTCTATCGTTTCTTTCAAGGTTGACTCGGATGTCGTGTCGCTCGACGGCCGGGATTTCTTGGAGACGGATGCGGAGATCGGAGAGGATGGGAAGCTTCACGTGACCGTGAGGAAGTCGAATGCGTCAAGGAGGTCGCTTGGGCCGGGATCGCTTCCGGCATTGACTCCTCGCCCGTCGAATCTCACCGGAGCAGAGATTTACAGCTTGAGTTCGTCAAGGAATCCGACGCCGAGAGGTTCGAATTTTAACAATTCGGATTTCTATTCAATGATTGGACTTCAGGGTTTTCCTGGGAGGCAGTCCAATTTTGGGCCGGGGGACTTGTATTCGTCGAGAGGTCCTACGCCGAGGCCATCGAATTTCGAGGAGAATTGCGCACCGGCGGCAATCAGTTCTCCTCGTTTCGGATTCTATCCAGCAGTGCCGGCGGCGAGCACTTATCCTGCTCCGAATCCGGAAATTTCTTCTACTGGGAGCAAGAACGCGAAGAAAGAACAGAACCAGCAGCAGCAGACGCAAGTGCAAGGGCAAACGGTGCAGTCACAGAGTAAAGCGAACCATGACGCCAAGGAGCTTCACATGTTCGTTTGGAGCTCCAGCGCTTCGCCTGTTTCCGAAGGTGGTGGGCTCCACGTCTTTGGTGGGACGGATTTCGGTGCGACGGAGCAGTCTGGACGGTCTGATCAGAGCGCAAAGGAGATCCGGATGTTAGTTGCCGATCACCCACAAAATGGGGGAAACAAAGGTAAAGCCATAAAGGACGCACAGAGAGAGAGAGAGAGAGAGAGAGAGAGAGGGAGGTCGTTGGAAAAACATCTATTTATTTATTTTTTTCAAATTTATTTGGTTTTCAAAAATTGATTTGTTTAATGCAGAGGAATTTGGAGGGGAAGACTTCAGTTTCGCGGGGGGAAGAGGAACGATGGCGGAGGGAGAAGAGGACAGAGAGAAAGAAGGGCCAACTGGACTGTCAAAGCTCGGCTCAAGCTCGACGGCGGAATTACACCCGAAAGCCGGGGGAACGTCGGATTCAGGCGCCGGGAAACAGATGCCACCGACGAGCGTCATGACCCGACTGATTTTGATTATGGTGTGGCGCAAGCTCATCCGGAACCCAAACACGTATTCGAGCCTTGTTGGTGTTATTTGGTCCCTCATTTCCTTCCGGTGAGTTTCCCGGCGAATAAAAGCTGATTTTTTTTTTCCCTTGAAGCTTCCATTATCTAACTATTTGTCGTTATGATTGTTGGATTGCTGGCTTATGGATTATTTCTTTGTCGTTAATTCAGGTGGGATGTGTCGATGCCGCAAATAATAAAGGGATCGATCTCTATACTCTCCGACGCCGGTCTTGGGATGGCCATGTTCAGCTTAGGTGAGTTCAGTCAACGAGTACAGACACTTACAGTGTTAGAGTCAGCCTGAGAGTCTGCCGGATACGAATGACCGGCGTCAATAACGGTCCCCTACGTTCAATTGTTGGTTTCTCTGCCATTTGAAAATGGCAAAGAAAGAGATCATGGCCACTCAATTTGTGGGCCATGGCTGGTGATCTTCTCTAACCACAAGAAGATTGATCAGTGAGCTAGCTGAGAGGCTCGCTTGATGGGGTTAGTCATTTACTACTGCAAGCGACAACTTCCTTAGATGGGCATTTCTGGTAAATTAAGAGGTGTGTCAATTATCCGAGGGCCATTGCCCGACACGTGGGACCAACGATCACGTTGCTTGTGGTCCTCTGGTCCTTCGTTGGTCGGCTCCATGACTGAAACTGCACCTATTCAGTTACCGGAAAAAATAAAGAAATAATTTTTATTTATTTGTTGTTTAGATATTAATCTGAGTTTTGATTGGGCAGGGCTGTTTATGGCGCTTCAGCCGAAGATAATTGCATGTGGGAACTCCGTTGCCGCGTTCGCCATGGCCGTGCGGTTTCTGACGGGCCCAGCAGTAATGGCCGCGGCTTCCATTGCTGTTGGCTTACGAGGCCAGCTCCTCCACATCGCAATTGTACAGGCCGCACTCCCTCAAGGGATCGTCCCTTTCGTCTTCGCCAAAGAGTATAATGTTCACCCGGCGATTCTCAGTACTGCGTAAGTAAAGAGGACTAAATTCAGATTTGATATGTTTTAATTTACAGTGTTGAGAAATTGACGTTGTTCTACGTTTAAATTCCAGGGTGATATTTGGAATGCTAATAGCGCTGCCCATCACTTTGGTTTATTACATTGTTCTTGGGTTGTGAAAATGGTGGAGATAGATGTTTTAATACTATTGAAAGAAAAGAAAGAAAGCACAAAAGATTTGGGTGTGTGTGAAAATATAAACGAGCGTCGACGCTGGCCAGAGAGTGTCGACTGTCGAGAGATTATGGGGACAATTTTCCGGTGGACAACAAGGTTTTCTTTTGACGCATCTGTTCGAGAGCAAAGTAAGGACCCCATATAAAAAGAAGATCATGCTCTCAATAGCAACACCATTTTTGAACTTGAACCCAACTTGTTTTGAGTTGAGAAGATGATGAGGAATCTAGAGTTGGTCGAGCTGTATACTAGACTACTGAGGGACAAGACACAGGGAACGAAGAGAGTGCATACGGCATACCCAATGATTTTCTTTCTTTCTTCTTCTTCTTCTTCTTCAGTGTTTATGTGTAACCCGAGTTGAATATTCAGCTTCAAGCCTTGGAAATTAACATAGAATCCGAACAATGAAATCCTTTTATTAGTTTTGGCATTTTGGAGTGTAAAAAATTTGCAATGTTTTTACAGATGCGCGTAAAAAGATATTTTGAAGAAATAAGTGAATCAAGCTTATGGACAATAGAATTAGAATTAAAACACGTCAAGCAGGATGAAGCATCTCCTTTCTGTTTATTACTTTGTTCTCATTAGTTGTATCTTTCACGCCAAGATAGGAATTAGCGAGCACCAGGAAAGCACATTGTCTTTCCACAATCGGATTTGGAGCCTCTTCCATCTTTCCCTTTCCTGCAATCCTTTAAAAAGTTTTAAACAGGATTGGAGAAGTGATTGTCAAAGCTACCTGGTTTTCTTGCTTCTCTTTTTCTCTTTTCATCTGATGCCCATCTCCATAGAGATGGCGAAGGAGTGATATTCAATCCAATCAAACCAGAAAGGCAAGAATTGGTCGTTTGGTCAGAATAATCTGAGTCAACATATTGACTTACTGGTGTTAGATTAATAGAGTAAAGCAGGACTGATGACCAAACCAGGAACCGACCTTCTTAAAAGCAGTCTGTATCAGATTCTGATTCAACTACGGACGTGGAAAAACAAGAGTCCGGATCAAAGCAGGACCGTCCAAGAGAAGAATCTGGGTTGGACGGCCCAATTTTTCAGCTCAGCAGAGACCCAAGCAGTGGCAGTACTGATGATCTCGTCCCGTTGTTCGGTTGTTGTGGGCCCACAGCCAAACGAGGTGGGCGGCTGGAAAGCTCTTCATCTTTAACTTTTCACAAATGATTAGACAGATCATAGATCATAACGTCATAGGATCATCGATAAGGTCTACCTGAAGAAAAAGGTCCCCCTGTTTTCTTATTAAACATAAATAAATAAATAAAATGATGTAACAAAAAAGTCTTACATGGAAGGACGTTCCCATGTGACAGGTCTCAGGAGGGCACAATCCCGAACGCTGTCACCTTGTCACGATTTGCCACGTGTCAAGACATCAATCCCATCACTATTTTCATTTGTCCGTTTAAAAATATTTTCAATGATAAGACTGCCATCTATAACCAACAACATTCTTCCAAACCGACGGTTCCCGATTACCCAGATTTTAGTTGTTTTAGGTTAATTTTTAACTTATGGATGAATGTAGGATTAGGAGGGAACACACGCACCAGCATACTCGCTTTAGCAAATCCGATGCTGATTTTCTGAGGCGGCTTGCTTCTCTTTAAGCTTCGAATTCAATTACCAAAATAGCAGAGCTAGCTACAAAACAAAAGAGCAGATTTTTTGACTTTGATCAGGTTTACATTACATATCACAATGACTATTTTGTCCTTTTCGTTTGGAAGTTAATGGATGATGGGAGGGGGTATTTTGGGGATTACAATAGATCTCCACTGCTCTCCCCGTCTCCCCGTCTCCCATAGAAACCGACAATACATAATTCTCGCTCTTTTCTTTTGTCTTTTTCATTTTACGCCTTGTTATAGGGCCAAAAAAGTTGTGGAGGAGGAGCTGATTGCAAGGTGCAACTGTGCAAGACCAAAACAGGATGGATGATTCCTGTGAAACTTCAAATACTGAGCCCTGAAAACGGACGGCTAGGGACTAGGGCAGAGATAGCTATCAGATTAGAACCGGTTTGGTCCATTCTGATCCTATTCTTGTGTCTCATAGAAATGAAGAATAAACAAAGAGAACTTTTTGAAATTAGGGTGGCAAACGGGTGAATTGGGTTGGGTAAGGGTGAAATACCAATCCACCTATATTGATATATTAATCCATCATGACTTATCATCAATTCTTATTAAAGGGTTATAATTTACCCTAACCTTGATCCACTTCGTCTATTCATATTGACCCTTAACTACCTTTACTCATATCCTCACTTATAAATACAAAAATAGATCAAGACCACTCATATACTCGGAATAATAATTTTTAAGAGGAACATCCTTCTCTCTCTCTCTCTTTCAAGGTTGCCATGTGGTAGAAATGGATCGGTCAACTCTTATACCTGAAAATAGCAAATTTTTTAGAGTAACATCTCTCAAGATTGTCACATTGCAGAAATGGGTAGGGGCAACCCGTATACCCGAAAAATAACAATTTTTTGAGAGAATAATCTCTCTTAAGGATGCCACCTGAAAGAATCGGGCCGGATCAACCCGTATATAAAAAAAAATATTTTTCAGAAAATCATCTCTCTTAAGACTGCCACGTGACAGAAATGGGTTGGGTTGATCTTTATATCCGAAAAAACATTTTTGAGAGAAGAATTTCTCAAGACTGCCACGTGACAAAAACGGGTTAGGTCAACCCATATACCCAAAAATGCAAAAATTGTAGATAAATGTTGAAAACAGCAAAAAAATTGCAGAAAATGCAATAAAAAATAAAAAAAATTACAAAAAATTACAAAAAATGCAAAAAATACCAAAAATTATAGAAAATGTAGAACTTTTGCAGAAAAAATCAGAAAATTGAAAAAAAAAATACCAAAAAATGTAGGGAATGCATGAAAACACTAGAAAATGCAGAAAATTATGTAGAAAAGCACAAAAAAATTTTTTAAATGTAGAAAACACCAGAAAATTGCAAAAAATGTAGAAAATTACCAAAAAATTACAGAAAATGTAGAAAACAACAGAAAAAGTTGCAGAAAATGCACAAGTTTTATAAAAGTGCTTTCGTAAAAGTACTTTTATAGAAGTACTTCTGTAAAACTGTTTTCATAAAAGTACTTTTGTACAAGTACTTTTTATAAAAGTTCTTTTATTCTTTCATAAAATTACTTTTATAATAATACTTTGTAAAAGTGCTTTCATAAAAGTATTTTTATAAAAGTGTTTTCATGTAAAAGTACTTTTATAAAAGTGCTTTCGTAAAAGTACTTTTATAGAAGTAAATACTTCTGTAAAACTGTTTTCATAAAAGTACTTTTGTAAAAGTACTTTTTATAAAAGTTCTTTTATGCTTTCATAAAAGTACTTTTATAATAGTATTTTATAAAAGTGGTTTCATAAAAGTATTTTCGTAAAAGTAATTTCATAAAGTAATTTCGTGTAAAAGTGCTTTTGTAAAAGTACTTTCATAAAAGTACTTTTATAAAAGTGTTTTCATGTAAAAGTACTTTTATAAAAGTGATTTCATGTAAAAGTACTTTTTATAAAATTGTTTTTGTAAAAGTGCTTGTGTAAAAATTGCATGTGAACATGAAAATAAAATCTATTTATTTTATTTTTAATCACAAAATTAAACGTGGCATGATGGTTTGGAATTGTAAGTTCAAGTCACTTCAACTGTTGTTTTTTAGAAATTTGGCGAGTATAAATAGATGCTTGACTTTAACCCAACCCACCTTGACCCTTTTTCCATTGACCCTAATGGGTTATTCAACCCATATTGACCCATCAATAGAATGGGTGGGTTCCGAGGTGGATGGATTGGGTGGGTGAAGTGGGTTGGGGTCAAGATTGCCAGTCCTATTTGAAATATTGGATTAAGGGATATTGAGCACTGAATTGTAATATATATTTGGTTTCACTACTTTGCACTTGGAGGACAAAGAGACAAGCCAAAATCGATACACGTGATTCTCCATATAAATCCTTATTATGTGGCAAATCTCAGCCCAATGATCTGCCAATTGGGTCTTAATAGAGGAAAAGTGTGGATCTATCATGTTATTCTTCCACATGTAATTGGGAATATCAAAGCCTGGCCTGGTTAAGTTTAAATGCAGCGCTTTCCTTATCTCCTCTATATATGATGTTGATCAACTTATTGGCCTAAAAACTTTTTGCAATTGTCTTGCTGATCCATTTGTTCAAATGTGAAACCCTAGGAGTTGATGATTCATCACTCATAGAATCATATCCCTAAGGCTCTACAAGATTTGTGAAGGTTTTCCTACCTTTTCCTAGTTTTTCTTTCAAACCAAACACATCGTAAAGAGAAAGAAGAACAATAAGTGAAGTTTAATTTGCAACAATTGATAGGTCATAAATTAACTCTCAAATAGAAGTTGTGATTGAATTCACTGTTCATATATATTTTTCGATGGCATGCATCCCCTCAATCCCTTCTCACCCCACACTATATAAATATATACTAAAAAGAATACATACTAGTAGATGATCTACCATTGCTTTTTTTGTCAAGCTCCATCATGTACTGGACAGTTTACAACCTCACAAAATTCTAGTAGAACAAAACAAAGTGGTATGTCAAGTCAAGAGCACCTTCTTTTCATAGCCTTTAGTTTGTATGCAGTGCAAATCGCATTTGAATTGTTATAAAAGTGTAAATGCAAAGAGTGTAAATAGGCTGTGTAAATTCTGGTTCACTTTTGCTTTAGGTTCAACTTTATCAATGCATTTATTTGTGAGAAGTAAAATTATGTGGCCACCACCTTATACGAAAGAAACAAAGAGGTAGGAGGATTAGTTGTTTGGGAGTTATCGATGTAGGAATCAATAATGTGATCCCAAGAGAGAATTGAATTAGTAGGAAGGTGGTGCAAATTTCGCATCAGTTTTGAAATACAATGTTTCCACAGAAAATAAGTATAAGTGAGATAAAAAAAAAATACAAATTTTGTATAGATAAAAATGCAAATCATAATTACAAATAAATAGATGTAAAATTGAATCAGATCCAAAATTTGTTTCGGGTTCACATATGCAATGGCAAACAAACAGACCCAATAGAAAATAATGGATGTAAGAATCGGCAGCCGATTATATTCCTCAAGTTGCACGTTGCTTTCAATCTTATCATTTCAAAATGATCACAAAATTCATGTATTGTGAAATTCTAAACCAGTAGAAGCTCTCCACAGAATGGTCCAATAGGCTGAAAAAGTTTAGATTGAACACCATATGCCTAGTATAGAATATAACAGTGTTAGACATTACCATAAATATGGTACTATTATTATAATTTTCCTCATTTTTTGATTTGACAAAGATAAGTATGTATACAATTATAAATTACTCAAAAAAGGCCATTACCCAATAACAGTGGCCTTTCGGCGTCATTTACATTATAATTAATGTTATTGTACTGTCATTACTAATTTTATTAATAAGCCAT